CAGTGCCCATATGCAGATCTTCTCTCCCCTCGCTTCCTGGTCTCACAGGCTTTGCTGAGGCAGCAGGAGCCATCAGCTCCCACTGCTGTCAATCAAAGCCAGTGACAAGGTAGTGGGGGGGTGAACCCCATTGCCTGTGTCTATAGACATAGGCAATGTGGCTCAGAACAATCCAGGCATTAAGCTGTCATTTAGCAATTGGACGGCATGTGGGCTGACATGATTCAGGACAGGGGGTGCACACTTGCTGACCCTCCCTTTCCTGGATAGCCAGGCTGCATGCCTAAATAAATATTTTGGGTCTGCTGTGGATTTTGAGGAGAACCACAAAAAAAATGACATGGCCACCCCAAAAAGTGAGTAAGGGACAACAAGTATGGCCCCCTCCAGAACCATACCAGGCCACATGTCCTCAGGGGATATAATTATTTAATTACAAAGCTAATAAAACACACCCACTTATAACCCATGAATAAGACTCAAGCTGTATAAAAAATAAAAATAAAATAAAAATTAAACCAGACAATCAGTCCCCTCCTTTTAAAGGAGTGTTAAACCACATAAAGCCCCATGACAAAGGGATAAGAGGGTGGGGGCTAGTTGCTTCAGTGATCCAGTCCATTAAAAACTGCCTGTAGAGAGACTCCATTTATACTCTTCTGGTTACTATACAATTAACTAACATAACTAGGGTGAAGTGATTCAGTTACACTTCACCCTAGATATGAAGCATTTTCTTCATATTCAATGCTATGGTATCATAGCGCTACAGTTTGGTGTGAAATATATGATTGCTACTGTTTGGTGTAAGATCTGTGATCATTTTCTTAATATTTGTTAACTAGTCAGCTAAGATAAATTGTCTGTCTGTAATTGTTTGAGCCAAAGATAGATGAATTTGAGCGCAGAAGGAATACTTCAAACAAGACAAAATTTAGAATTGTAATACACATTTATTGCTTGAGTAGTCTTACATTGCTCTCACAGCAAAATGTTCTAATTTGCCATTATGAATTTGAAAATACATTTTGTTAATTACATAGCAGGAGAAATAATATGCTGCATGTTAATTGCTGATCATTATTCACTGACAAGTTTTTTTTTTTTTTCATGATCTCTCTGAGACAGGAAAAGAGAAGTAGTGATCGCAAATATGCTCAGGCTTTCTGCCAGCCAACAACTGCTATGTACATCTTTAGTGCCAATGTGTGCTTATTACTGTTCAGGATCTTAAATGAAGGGCTGTAGCCTGTCAGGGAATGTATTTTGCCACTTCAGAGCAGTTGTCACCACTTAGCAATAACATGTGACCATAATTGGTCAGGTAATGATAGACCACAAAAGCTGAAGGGGAGAGTATTATTGTTATTATACATTACAAACAAGCAATAGATGTACAACGGAAACTGTATGTTCAAACTAATAGGCTTGTATCAAGAAGACAACAGTTGACTAAACTGACCCTCTAGAGCTACTCTAGATACTAGCATATAATACACCTATCTTTCCTTGAATGCTGAATGTTTTAGCTCTTGTAATGAAAAAAGCTATAGCACTAATTTCCTAGTGAGCTGCTAAGATGTTGGATCCTCCTCCTGTTCCCAGTGGTGACCCATCCTAACCAGACCCAAACTCACCAACACACCAGTACTATCAAGTGGACTTTATTTAAAAGAGGAAGAAAGATCTGCAATGGAAGATTAGTATAAAACCCTCTTAATAAAATCTTTTCAACACTTTTTCCAGCACCCAGGATGCTCTTACAGCATCCTTCAGAAAATAAGTAGGTCATCTGGAAACACCGGCACTTCTATCAAGTTCATATTTCCGACAGTTCCCTCTATCAGCCACTGAAAGGTCACCGGGACCAGGGGCGGACTGACAACTCATGGGGCCCCCCGGGCAATAGGGGATCATGGGGCCCCTGTGTCCTTGCCCAAACTCAAAAAAGCCTATGAAAAAGGTACCAGGGGCATCTCATGGGGCCCCCTACTGACCCCGGGCCCTCGGGCAGTGCCCGAGTTTCCAAATGGTCAGTCCGCCCCTGACTATTGTCAAATCTGCATTCTGTTGAACTGATAGAAACCCAGTGAGCACATTAAGACGGTCTTCTTTGTGTCTTCAGTAAGCATGGGGATCTGATAGTTTCCACTCCCTACATCCAGTTCTTCAATCTAGAGTGCAATAATCCATGTGCATTCTGATGGAGTCACTTTTCTTCTGGACCACCACCAAGGGAGAAAGCCCTCATGTGAATGCCTTCAACTTAAATAGACACTATGGAACAGGGGCCTATCAACTTATCTGGCAGTTTATTAGAATCAGTTGTGCTCACAGATCTGTCTGACTGAGCTTGCACCTTTTTCTTTCTTTGGTGGCACTTCATATTATGCCTATACTGGATATTTGCTGATTAGTATGCATTTTTCTCAAGTCCAATGGGATCTGATGCTGAGAGAGGTATTTTTAATTATCTTTAGACATGTGCATTTCATGTCGATATGTTTTTGAGACGAAAATATAATTTTCGGAGATCCGGATGTATACGAATCTATGAATGGACATAGTAATGTCAACAAATAAAAAAAAAAGTGAAAAAAATGGGTGGCCAAAGCCTGTAGGAACCAAAGTTCTCATCTGACACTATTATAAGGCAATTAGACATGTGCACGCTGGAAACCTTTGTTTCGTGTTGGATGCATTTGTTCATTAAAGAATTTTTTTTGTAAAATTCGCTATGTTGACCCAATTCATTTTTGGAGTTTGTTTCATATATTTGTTGAAAAATTCTGAACTGAGCAATTTATGTTACTGCATCATGGTCTCTTTTAGTGTACCCAAATTAATCTGTACTGGCTACCCAAATACATCATCATGGTGCTGACCAGATCCAGTGTAGCTGCTTTCTGAGTCTTTGAAGCTAGCAGGGCCTCTTCCTCTCTGATCATCTTGATCATTTTAGATTCAGTCAGGAAATCACTTGTACCTCTTGCCCAAAGTTTCAATATTCTAGAGTCCTGAGGTTGTTCCCATTTACTTGACCCAAGTCCACACGGCCTTGCTCACTGTGACTGGCTTTATTCCATCCTTGAGGGTGACATAGTGGAGAATCTCCTCTCCTCTCCATCTATCCAGATACAAAGCTCATTGAAATTCTCACAAGGCATATTTGTAACAAAGAGTGAAAGAAAACAGAGGGAGAGACAGACAGGAAGACAGAGAGTAAGAGAGAGACAGTGAGAGAGAGAGAGAGAGAGAGAGAGAGAGAGAGACAGAGAGAGAGAGAGACAGAGAGAGAGAGTGAGAGAGAGAGAGAGAGAGAGAGAGAGAGAGAGAGACTGTGAGAGACACAGAGAGAGAGACAATGAGAGACACAGACAGAGAGTGAGTGAGAGACAGAGAGAGAGAGCACGAGAGACAGAATGAGAGACAGACAGAGACATGGAGAGAGAGTAAGAGACACAGAGAGAGAGAGAGAGACACACATACACACAGAGACAGAAAGAAAAACAGTGAGACACAGACAGAGAGAGACACAGGGATCAATTCACTAAAACGGATAACATGCGGTATTTACCACAGATCTTAAAACGGTAGGAACCGCTTTGTGAATTAAGCCAACAGTGAGAGAGAGACAGACAGGGAGACAAAGAGAGACAGAGAGAGAGAAAGAGAGAGAAAGAGAGAGACAGACAGAGACAGACATAGAGACAGTGAGAGACACACATAAAAAGACAGAGAGAGAGAAAGAGACAGAGAGAGAGAGAGACACTGATAGACAGATACAGAGAGAGTGAGCAAGAGCCAGTGGGCTCCTCTCAAAAAAGCAGATGGCATGCAGTATTTAGGTGATTTGACCCTTTTTCCCTTAATATGGCATGCGATCCTGAAAGTGTCAATTCACTATACCGTTATGTGGTATTTACCGCAGAACTGTCAAAAGTGCTCAGTAAATACCACCAGGGGCGGACTGACCATTCGAGCATTCAGGCACTGCCCGAAGGCCCGGGGTCAGTAGGGGGCCCCATGAGATGTCCCTAGTACCTTTAATTAACTTTTTCATAGGCTTTTTTTGGGTGTGGGCGAGGACACAGGGGCCCCATGATCCCCTATTGCCCAGGGGCCTCATGAGTTGTCATCCCGTCCCTGAATACCACATAAGAAGGAGTTAAAGTCAATTCACAGAAGGAAATTAATAATTAAATGCATGTGTTAATTAAGCAGTGGTTCAGGCAGCCAGCGGCATCCTTAACAACAAGCAACTGTCATGGTTGTTAAGGAGAGGGCCACTGAGTCATCAGCTGCCAGTGGGGTCCTCCACTGACAGCTGAATGTAAACAAAACAATTGCCGGCAATTAATATTTATAAAAAAAAAAAAAAAAACGGTGTGGGGGTCCCCCAAATCCATTCCAGGCCCTTCAGATCTGGTATAGATTTTAAGGGGGAACCCACACAAAAATGTTTTTAAAAATGGTGTGGGTTCTCCCCAACTTTTATACCAGACCCCATAAAAAAAATGGCTTAGGGGTTCCCCCACAAAATCCATATCAGACCCTTGTTAGAGCATGCAGCCTGGCAGACCCTTACTCACCTAAGGGTCTTGTATGGATGTGGGGGGGCTTGCCATTTTATTTTAAATTTTGGAATAGGGTTCCCCTCAAAATCCATACCAGACCTGAAGGGCCTGTTATGGATTTGGGAAACCCCCACGCAGTTTTTTTCCCAAACATTTTAATTGCCGGAAATTGTTTTGTTTACATTCAGCTGTCAGTGGGGAAGCCCGTGACAGCTGATGACTTATTGATTGTTAAGGATGCAGCAGCTGCCTGATCCTTAACAACTATGACAGTTACTGGTTGTTAAATAAGCTGGTTACCACCAGCGTTAAATTACCTCAAAAGAATTTTTGAAAAACAGTGTGTGAATGGAGCTCAGTAAGATACATACAGAGAGAGAGTGAGTCAATGAGAGAGAGAGAGAGAGAGAGACAGAGAGAGTTTTAGTGGTAACCAGGGGCGGACTGACCATTTGGAAACTTGGGCACTGCCCGAGGGCCCGAGGTCAGTAGGGGGCCCCATGAGATGCCCCTGGTACCTTTTTCATAGGCTTTTTTGAGTTTGGGCAAGGACACAGGGGCCCCATGATCCCCTATTGCCCGGGGCCCCATGAGTTGTCAGTCCGCCCCTGGTGGCAACACATACATACTGGTTTCTATCAAGTTACTGCCCTGTCAACCTATGAGGTAAGCCCACAAAGTGTGAACCATGCAGCAAACAATTTTCACAAAATATTATACACCATTGCAGAAACAGCCCAGCTGAGAAAAGTCAACTACAAGAAACTATCTAAAAAACAATCAATCCAATAAATAGTTTGACAAAGAATGCAAAGCATTGAGCAATGCCTTATGGATGGACACTCTCAAATAACAAACACAAAGACCCTGAATACACTGATCTAAGGACAGCCCACGGTACCCTACAGAAAAATACAAACAAACCCTTAAAAGAAAAAAAACAAAACCTAATCTCCAACAACCTGCAACAGTTAAAATAGGCACTTTAGAAAACATCTTTCTGGGAAATATGTGAAGATTTGGCTCAGCATGTCAGGAAAAACAACCTCCACATCCAAAATGGTGACATCTGGCTCAACCACTTTAAGAACCTCAACAAAGATATTCCAGAAGAGGTACTAACTGTGGAAGAAAAAGACTTTGTCAAAAGACTAAATGATATGGCGGAAAAAATCAAGGGCTTCCAAAACCCTCTAGATGTGCCAATTATACTATAAGAAATAATGGAGAGAATTCAACACCTGCAAACTTAAAAAGCCAGTGTAATCAATGGGTTCCTGCAAAAGATGATTAAACACAGCTCCCAGATGTTCAATCTGATTCTGAGTGCTGATCACTACCCTAAAGTATGGAAGCAAGGCCTTATAAAACCCATCCATAAGAATGGAGACCCGTATGATCCAGCCAACTACAGAAGAATGTGTGCCAGCAGCACACTGGGAAAACTATTCAACAGTACTCTCAACAAAATGACCCTAACCTTCCTGACACAGCATAATATCCTCAGCAGAAGTCATGCAGGGTTCATGCCAGACCATCGCACCACAGACCACATCTATACCCTGCACAGGCTCATCAAGAATCATGTCCACAATAAAAAACATAGAAAAATATTTGCCTGTTTTGTGGACTTTAAGAACGTCTTTGACTCAGTGTGGTACCCAAGCTTGTTCCTCAAATTATTGGAGAGGGGAATAGGAGGGAAAGCATATGATGTCATCAAAAAAAATTCATATAGCGAGAACAACTGCAGCATAAAAGTAAATGAGAATAGAACAGAGCACTTCCAACAGGCCTGTGGAGTCAGACAAGGCTGCAACCTAAGCTCAACCCTCTTCAAAACATCTACATGAATGAACTGGCTGCAGCTCTAGAATTCTCTCCAGCACCTGCACTGACTTTACACCGAGGTGAAGTTCTTGCTGTATGCAGATGACCACCTACTACTGCCACCAACAGAGAGAGGCCTACAAGGCAGCCTGGAAGTGCTGGAGAAATACAGTGACACATGGGCACTACCTATGAATTAAAAAAAATTATGGTGTTCCAAAGGAAGAACACAAAACAAAGAGCCCCATCCTTTACATTAAACAAATGCACTCTTGATGAAACTAACAACTACACATACCTCAGCCTAGAAATGTACTAATCAGGAAGTCTCAAGGCAGCCATAGAGGCCCTAAAAGACAGGGCATGCAGAGCTGTCTATGTCATCAAGAGACAACTGTACCACTTTCAACCATCAGTAAGTTTCTGGCTTAGAATCTCTGATATCATCATCACCCTAATCCTTCTTTATTCCAGTGAAGTTTGGAGTCCTGTCACCTACCTAGACCAATTCAAATGGTACTCCAGCCCACCAGAAATATTTCATCTGGAATTCGGCAAGTGCCTCCTTCAAGTCCATCAGAGCACCTCCAACAGTTCTTGCCGGTCTGAGTTGGACAGATTCCCTTACTTCTAGCAGTACAGAAGAGAGCGCTATCATACTGAGACCAGCTAAAAAACAGCAGTCCTAACTCATTCCACCATAAGGCCCTACTGACCAATAAGGACCAGTCGAAGCCATGGGGCATGCAACAACTCATCAGCGCCTTGTCTATCCCAAATGCCCAACAATCTTGCCTGACAAAATTTCAAATAAAAGACATAATGAATGGTTCCAAAGAAAAATATGTTGGGGAATGGAGAAACCAGATAACAAACTCTAGGAAACTAATTGTTTACCAATCACTGTAGAGGGACTACAAACTGACCCCATACCTGGAGGTGCTACAAGACCCCAAAGACAGACAGACAAACTCTGAGCCTGTACAGGCTGAGTGCCCACTCACTTCCAGAGACTCTCTGCTATCATCCTGGACTTCAATTGGATAGAAGAGAAGAGAAAACTTCAAATTCTACTTGGAGAAGAGGGGCCAGTGGTGAAAATAGCTACACAATATGTTACAGCATGTCACAGACTAAGAGAGACATGAAAAACTGAGGACTTAAAAATTCTTTACATACTGTATACTCACCCCCTATCCCCCTTTATTTTACTCCTTACACTCCCCATACACTGCTTTGGCAATGCTAAAATGTTACTTGGTCCTGCTAATAAAGCTCATTTGAACACACACACAGAGCGCGAGAGAGAGAGAGAGAGAGAGAGAGAGAGAGAGAGAGAAAGAGAAAACAGACAGACACACACAGATAGACACAGAGAGGGAGAGACAGGCAGAGACAGACACAGAGAGAGACAGTAAGAGACAGACAGATAGAGACAGACAGAGAGAGACAGAAAAAGACAGAGAGAGAGAAACAGTGAGAGACAGACAGAGAGAGATAAAAAGAGAGACAGGCAGAGAGAAACAGAGAGAAAGAGATAGATGTGAGAAAACAGAGAGAGAGAGAGAGGGAGAGAGAAAGCAACAGAAAGAGAGGGGCAGAGAGAGAGACAGTGAGAGACACAGATAGAGACAGACAGAGAGAGACAGGCAGAGACATACACAGAGAGCAAAAGACAGTGACAGAGAGATAGACAGAGAGAGAGTGTGATACAGACAGAGAAAGACACAGAGAGAGACAGATAAAGAAAGAGACAGTCAGAGAGTGAGAGACAGAGCAAAAGAAACACACAAAGAGACAGAGACAGCAGAGAATTCAGAGATAGACAGACTCTGTGTATAAGTGGGAGGGGAAGAGTGTGATTTTAGCTCTCTGCTCCTCTAAGCTTTGGTGCTATGCCATGCCTACAGATCTGCAGATTTATGAGGGCTACAACCAAATGAGGATGACTTTTTGAGAGGTACACACAATGTGATTTTCTGTAGGTTATAACAACATTATCTACTAGACCAAAAAAATGTCTTTCAGGAATTTGGGTTTACAACCACTAAAAAGGACTTCTGTTTCAGAAAAGAAAAAGCCTTCCCTATATTCTAAAGCAGGTGTTACCTCAGTCTCTAGTTTCACCTATAGAAATCTCCTCCATTACTTTCTGGTATGTGTCCTTTGGGATGAGAAAATTGTGTCTTCCTCTGCTGATTAATAATTTTGTACCTTACCTTCTTGCATAGCTCGTTCATTTGGTAGACTATGAAGGAGCTGGGTGATCACATGACAGCCTATGTGGAGCAGAGCTGTAGTATTGAAAGCAGGAGAAGTGTGTCCCTGGAAATCTGTAAAGCTTATAGTACACTATACAATCTGATTTTACAATCTCCTTTAGATCTACCATCAACTATATAGTGTAAGGCCTGTCTGGATACAAAGTGATTGGATAGATAGGTGTGTCCTCCTATTATATAGTTTTTGGTAAATCTAAAGGAGATTGTACAGAGATCGTATAATCAGATCGTATGGTGTATGGCCACCTTTATATATCTAAAATGAATTAGTAACACTTTCAAAATGCTCATAGGGCAGCCCATGGATTTGTATGTTCCTGACAGGATTTCTCTGTTGTATGTTTATTTTTTTCACTATAACCCAGCATCACCTCTGGGTAAAAGCAGGACCGGCACTAGACTATTTTTCGCTCTAGGCAAGACCAGCTACTTGCGCCCCCCCCCAAAAAAAAATAATTTTAAAACAGTAGAAAGTATTACATGAAACTGTTAAATTTCTTTTACTTTGCAAAAATAAGTGCCATAAGATGCCACCAGCACCAATACTAATGACAAAATCAGTGTCATGGATGGACTGTCTCTGTGGCTGGCAGTGGCAGGGTGACAGTTGCAGTGAGTGGAGGATGATGGATCCACACTCTGACAGAATTCTGGCTGGAATTCCCCAGGCAATGGGGGAAGATAAAATTCTGTGACAGCAGGCAGCCCAGCCCACACACACAGATAGAACACTTGAACTGAGCAATCCCACACAGTGACAGATCCAACACAACACACCACCACCAACACTGACACAGATCAGCAGGCCCAGCAGACACTAGAAGGGCAGGCTTTGAGATTGTGATGATGTCATCACTCACTGACACATTGCACATGTGATAGATGGCTGGCTGGGTCACACTCACACAGACACAAGACATCAAAGTCAGACATTACCTGCCTCTGCAGGCATAGCTCTTCCTCCACTGATGAATGGGAAGAGAAGGGCTGAAAATCCACAGCATCTGGCAGCCGACTTGCAGTAAGGGACTGAGTCCGAGAGGAACACTGGAAGGAACAACAGCTCAGCTGCTTCACTGGCCCCAGATACTTGGTATCTTTCTCTGTCCTTTCTTCCTCCGCTCTGCTGCCCCTCATCTCAGCTGGAAGATCATTTATGGCGTGGAGTCACAGAGAGAGTGCCAGTGCCCAGAAGCCCCTAGGTAGCAGTGTGCCCTAGGTGGCTGCCTAGTTTTCCTAGTGGAAGCACTGGCAATGGGTAAAAGACAAATATAAAGGCAGTGTCTCAACTGAGTGTGTACATCAGGTATGCAAGCACATTTATTACCTAGTTTAAAAGTGTAGATAAATCACGTAGAGGGGTCAGAATCTTTGGCAGGTTTTTATTGTTGAAAGTAAAAGAGGAGACATATTCAATCTGTTAAAATTTCTGTTTTGCTTATGGGACATGAAGTGAAGGAACATCTCTCCACAGATAAAACACTTAACAAGGTCTTTAACCATTTTTGTCTCTATCTAGTATAAAAGCCTGTCTCATTCTGGCATGCTGTAGAG